AAAAACGAAAAGGAGCATTATGAACAATGGAAAGACAAGAGGATGAGGAAATTACCTAGACACTTAGATGACTCACAGGGATGCGAAAAAGTTAAATGGAAAGTGGTTCACGTCAGCTTCGTCCATGGAGTCCAGAGGGAGCTTTAAACAACTTGAGAGGTTCGAATGTCATTGTCATAGAATACTAGTGACTGAGAGACCGGGCCTCAGCAGCTGAAAACTCGCTCAAAAAATGTAATAGATGAGATTGTAATAACGTACACACACACACACACACACACACACACACACACACACACACACACACACACACACACACACACACACACACACACACACACACACACACACATATACACCCGTCTCACGTCGCTGGAAGAAAGAAGAGTTAGAGGAGACATGATCACCACATACAAGATTCTAATAGGAATTGACAGGATAAATAAAGACAATTTATTTAACACAAGGGGCACACGCACAAGAGGGTCACGGATGGAAACTGAGTATCCAGATGAGAAGGAGAGATATTAGAATCAACTTTTTTAGTGTCAGAGTAGTTAACAAGTGAAATGCACTATGCAGTGATATGATGGAGATTCCATACACAGGTTCAAATGTAGATAAGATAGAGCCTAATAGGCTCAGGATTCTGTACACTGGTTGATTGACAGTTGAGTTGCGGGACCAGAGAGCCGAAGCTCAACCTCCGCAAGCACAACTAGGTGAGCACAATAGGTGAGAACACACACAGACTCACATTCAGCAGCGATGGCGCCTCGCGGCTGAGTGGACAGCGCTCTGGGGTCGTAGTCCTAATTGTCCGAGTTCTATGTCCGTCCATGGCAGAAACAAATGGGCAGAGTTTCTTTCACCTGATGACTCTTTTCACCTAGCAGTAAATAGGTATCTGGGAGTTAGACAGCTGCTACGGGCTGCTTCCTGGGGATGTGTGTGTGTGTGTGTGTGTGTGTGTGTGTGTGTGTGTGTGTGTTAGAGAGAAATATATGTAGTAGACATAATAGAGGAAAAATATATCCGTTTGAAAGGCGGGGTCCAAGAGCTAATAGCTCGATTCTGCAGGCACAGATAGTAAATGCACACACACACACACACACTCACTCTCTCTCACTCCATCTCTCTCTCTCCGCTCTATCTGTCTGTCTGTCTGTCTGTCTGTCTGTCTGTCTGTCTGTCTGTCTGTCTGTCTGTCTGTCTGTCTGTCTGTCTGTCTGTCTGTCTCTCTCTCTCTCTCTCTCTCTCTCTCTCTCTCTCTCTCTCTCTCTCTCTCTCTCTCTCTCTCTCTCTCTCTCTCTCTCTCTCTCTCTCTCTCTCTCCAAGGTTATTGCGTCATCAGCTCTGACAACCCAAAACGTTGACTGGAGCGACAAGATTCCAACCAAACATTGTTTTTTTTTGTATATTGAGTTACCCCCATGACATCATAGCTATTCTCTGCCACTGAGGAAATTGCCCCAATACCCGTTGCCATCTGCAGTACACTCACGTCCTCCCCGATGGCTCTTAGTTCCATAAAAATGAAAGATAAGAAAAAAAAGGAGACTAAACAATGGAACTTGAAGAAGAAAAATGGGGTGACATCAGCAACGGGCTTACTCAGGGGGAACCGGGACAGAGAAGCCAATCCTGGTCATATGTTTGTGGCAGTGATTCAAGCGACCTTCCCTGGGGGCACCCGCTCTCCCATGGTCACCTGGGTGCTCCTACTGGGTGACTGGGTGTTAGGGAACCTCACCTGTATACCCACCCCCTTTACCCCTGCTTGTCTTTCTCCTCTTCCTTCTCCTATGTCTCCTATGCCTCTCCTACTTGCTTCCCTCTCTGGGGCATGGGAGAGAGGAGAGTAATGGGAAGGGGAAGTGTAGTGTCCACATGTGGTCTCCAAGGAAACACTTGTGTGTAGTATATTTAAGTATGTGTGTGTACTTTTGTTTCTATTACTGTCTGCAGGACTATCTACTTATTTATTTATAACCAGTATATATATACAAGAAGTTACATTGGGTTTATGGGAGTACATAGCATGATGTGTTAACCAGTAAGCACAGCGTTTCGGGCATCTCGGGATTTAGATTAGAGGTTTGTACTTGTATTTGTGTGTTTGTGTTTGTGACAGTACCTTCACTATCACCACCCCTCTACCATTACACTATACCACCACCCTTGTACCACAGTCACTTCTACCCATTGTGACTCTCCAACACTACTAACCAACCTTCACCCCCGCTCCAACACTATCACTAGCACCACTGTCACACAGCCACAATACTATTGCACTGTCACCACATCACCATCACTTCAGAACAGCCTTCAGGAACCTGTGTAAAGGAATCATTCAGAATCTTGTATACCATATATGTAAGACCAATCCTGGAGTATGCGGCCCCAGCATGGAGCCCGTACCTTGTCAAGCACAAGACGAAGCTTGACAAAGTTCAGAGGTATGCCACTAGACTAGTTCCAGAACTAAGAGGCATGAGTTACAAGGAAAGGCTGCCGGAAATGCATCTCACAAGACAGGAGAGCTTGGGGATACATGATCACGACTTTCAAAATTCTCAGAGGATTTGACAGGGTAGATAAAGATAAACTGTTTATCACGGGTGATACGAGAACAGGGGGACACAGGTGGAAAATGAGTACCCAAATGAGCCACAGGGACGTTAGAAAGAACTTTTTCACTGTCAGAGTAGTTAACAAGTGGAATGCATTAAGCAGTGATGTGGTGGTTATCTTGAGATGATTTCGGGGATTAGCGTCCCCGTGGCCCGGTCCTCGACCAGGCCTCCTTTTTGTTACACCCCCACAGGAAGCAGTCCGTAGCAGCTGTCTAACTCCCAAGTACCTATTTTTACTGCTATGAAGGCAGACGCCATACACAGTTTCAAATGTAGATATGATAGAGCCCAGTAGTCTCAGGAATCTGACAACAGTTGATTGACAGTTGAGAGGCGGGACTAAAGAGCCAGAGCTCAACCCCCGCAAGCACAACTAGGTGAGTACAACTTGGCGAGTACACAACGCCACACAGTAACAAGCAAATCAAGTGTGTTTGCTTGCATGTTTGTGTTACTCTCCGTGCGTGTATTCACCTATATGTATTCATCTGAGCTTGCGGGATCGAACTTTTTGCTCTTGGACTCCGCTTTTCAACCGCCGGTTATCTAATATAATGACTCCTGACCAATTTTCTCTATGATTTCTACTAGACTAGTTATTGACCACACCAACGCTGCAACCCACAAGAGCTGTCTAGCGCCCAGGTACCTATTTACTGCTAGGTGAACAGAGGCATTAGATGAAAGAAACTCTGCCCACTTGTTTCTGCCTCGAGAATCGAATAATGGCCCTTAGAGCTATGATGTCAAAACGCTGTCCACTCGGCTGTGTGTGAGAGAAACAGAGAGAGAGAGAGAGAGAGAGAGAGAGAGAGAGAGAGAGAGAGAGAGAGAGAGCTACGTCACAGCTTTCCATCCTCTTCAGCTTGATCTTGTGGCTGGTGAACAAATCGGATATCGGTCTGAGACATGTATAACATGTTCTAAGAACACAGGCAGCTCGGGTTTTCCCACTCACATTAGTGATTTTAAATTCATCCTGAGAATTGATGCGGTACACGGCTGGCAGTTTCAAGGGCCAAGTGATGATTGTTTACATGTTGTTCTTAGCACCGGGAAAAACACACATTCCTTTTCGGGAGGTAAATCATTGAGATAAAGATCCTGTGCTCTGAGCGTTCCTCTTATCCTTGATAATTTTTATCTTGCTGTCGGAGCAACGTGTAGACGAGAACAGTATTGATAAGACATCGATTGGGGGATCTCATTTTTCACTTTGGTTAAACGGGAAGAATAAGTTGAGAATGAACAAATCAAGAATGAATGATCAAGAATAAGTTGAGAATGAAGAGGATCCGTTGGTAAATCAAGATGATTTCCCTGGTTGCAATTCTTATACCATGTCGTAGCTCAGTCGATTAAGGCAGCGTCTGGGATGCTCTCAGACGTAGGTTCGAATCCTCGTCACGGCCCTTGTGGATTTGTTCGATAAGTTGAGGTTGTAACCAACTATGGCAAGTTGTGATACGTGGCTTTTGTTGTCTGGTTGTTGTTGTATGTGAACTTGATCTTGGTGGTGGTGGTGCTATATAGTATAGTAGTATAGTATAGTAGGGTAGGGAAGGTATGGGTTGGTTTGTCAAGCTTAGTCCAAAGTATTGAAGGTAGGTGGTTTTCACAACCTCTTTATTTTTTATGCATTTCAAATGCTGTCCGCCCGTAACGGGTATGAGTGTTTTCTTATATTTATCCGACTCATTTGTGTTTCTAGCTTCCATTTATGTGTTCTTGTCCTTCTTTTTCTCACTTTAAAGGCGCTTTTTGTGTCCACCTTGACACGGGGTTCCTCAGTATCTTATATGTTGTGATCATATTCATTCTGTATTTTATCTTTTCTAGGGTAATGAGACCTTGTTCCTTTAACCTGTCCTCGTAGCTAAACTTTCCTAGTTTTGGCACTAATCTTGTTACAATCCTCTGAACTTTGTTAATATGAGTTAATGCTTTTCAATGTGTGGATTCCAGGCCCGTGCTGAATATTTCATTGTAGGTATATTATTCATTGTAGGTATATTATTCATTGTAGGAATATTTCATTGTAACATAGGCTGTGTAGATTGCACTGGAAGAGTCCTGATATGTTCCAATTCTTGACAGAGTCCCCATGGCCTGCTGATGTTACTCTATTTATATGTGCCTCTGGTACACACATAAATCACAGTAGCGTGATACATCAAATGAACAAATCCACAAGGGTCGAACCCTCATCACGGCCCTTGTGGGTTTGTGCCTCTAGTGTTAGTGCTGGGATAATATCCATTCCCATATTTTTTCTCTTTCCGATACCTTCTGGTCTCTTTTCTTCCTTTCCCATTGTCATTGCCCTGCACTTGCTGGTTTGAATTCTAGCAGCCATTAACTTACCCACTTGTAGAATTTGTCAAGGTCACCCTGTAAATTGCGACAACCTTTGGTTTTTACAATCTTCACTAATCTTTGTGTCGTCTGCAAAATAATTGACATGTACGAACTCACTTCCTCGGGTAGGCCATTCGCATAAATTAAGAACAGTAGTGATGCTACGATTGAGCTTTGGAGGAACTCATCTTATCACATTTCTCCAGTTCGAAACCTCTTCCTTGACTGTGACTGTTTC